GCCTGTTTCTCTGGTGTCTAGGACAGTTCCCAGCTTATCATAAGGACTCAACAAGCATTTGTGGAGGGAGGGAAAGATGGGAAGAAGGGAGAGAGCCACCCTCTGACAGTGGGATAAGCAGCCCTGTCCAGGGCAAAGTCTGGGCAAAATAAAGAATAGGAACAGCAAAACCAACAGGTTACCAGCCAGCAACTGGTTGCTTTACCAAGATTTCCTGTTCTCTGCTTCTTCCTGCCTCTGGCTCTCTCTCTACCACATCCCTTTCCCGCCTCTCCCCTCTTGTGCTTTCTTCCCCTTCTTCCCACCCCCACTTTATTTATTTCTCTCTCTCTCCTTTTTTTTACAATTAAAAAAATTTTTATATTATATACATATTTCTTGAGACAGGGTCTTGCTCTGTTGCCCAGGCTGGAGTGCAGTGGCATCATCATAGCTCACTGTAACCTCAAACTCCTGGGCTCAAGTGATTTTCCTGCCTCAGCCTCCTGAGTAGCTTGGACTATAGGCACACGCCACCATGCCTGGCTAATTTTTTAAAAATTTGTTGTAGAGATGGGGTCTCTCTATGTTGCTCAGGCTGGTCTTGAACACCTGGGCTCAAGTGATCCTTCTACTTTGGCCTCCCAAAGTGCTGGGATTACAGGTGTGAGCCACCTTGCCCAGCCCTACTTATTTCTCTTTTTCTCTACCATTTTTACTCCATTCTCTTTTCATTCTGTTTCCTTTGCCCTCACATATGAAAATAAGTGTTTTTGGGATAAAATTTCATATTTTCTGTTCTAAATTAATTTATATTCATTCTTAGCTAACCTTATAGCCCTCTTTCCTAGCTAAAAGGTGGAGTTCCATATATGATGGCTCCAGCACAGTTGTCTCTTCCTCGTGTCCCCACTGGTTCTGGCCTCCATCTGGTAGTGGTCCAAGCGAGCAGGCCGAATGTCCTGTCTCCTGGGAACATGGTCCACCTTGGGGCATGTACTAGCAGCAGGGCTGGCTGCCCCAGGGCTGACTTAAGTTTGGAGGGCATTCCCCTACTGACTTGGAGATTGTTTAGGTCAAAGTGGCTACCCTAAAACAAACTGTCCAAAGACTAGACATGGGGTGGGTGAAAGGCCTCCTGAAGGGCCTGCCACCTGGAGATCCATTTCCATTTTTTTTGGAGGTGGGGAACAGAAAGCTGGCACATGTGTAGACACCTCCTCCTGAGCCCAGTACGGAGGAGGATGCCTTTGCCTCTCCTCAGTGCATTGCTGGTCCCATGTCCTGACACCTGTTCCTCATTCCTCTCTGGCCCAGGCAGCAATGTGGCCAGGAAGGAGCAGAGAGAGAGGGACAAGGCTGCTGGCGGCAGCGGAGGAATCTGTGCTGAACTCACAGCACCACCCCCGGGCCATCTGGTGCCCTGGCCCTTGCCGGAAAGGAGTGGGATGCAGGCAGCAGAAGGAGAGACTCATAGCCACTGCGTCGTCTCCCTCCCTTCTCCATGCCACCCACCCTGGATAACTGCCTGGGCCCAAGGCTTGCCATCGGGTAGAAGTGAGGGGTACAGTGGGGTAAACATCTTTGGCCTGGTCTCAGCAAAGTTCAGACCTTAGAACAGGTGAGGGAAGACAATGCTCACTCTTCTGTAGTTTCCTCTTTTTTGTGAGGGGGGGTGGCGAAGAGAGTCTCGCTCTCTTGCCTGGGCTAGAGTGCAGTGGCATCATCATAGCTCACTGCAACCTCAAACTCCTGGGCTCAAGCGATCCTCCTGACTCAGCCTTCCAAGTAGCTGGGACTACAGGCATGCGCCACCATGCCCAGCTAATTTTTCCTGTTTTTTGTAGAGATGGGATCTTGCTATGTGTAGTTTTCTTAGAGAGGCTTAGATTCTGATTAGAGCAAGGAGAATGGGAGGCAGACAGAGTGTCTGGATCTGGTAGGCTAGGGATGGGGTAGCAGCCCTTCTGTTCCCCCCTGGGGCAGAGGGTGTGCCTCCTCACTTCAGGTGGTGCTCTGGGAGCACTCAGCTGATGGTACTGGAAGTATCGGCGTGCAGGCAGCCCTGCCTTTGCACTGCACTCACTCCTGGGATGCTGCTCTGAGGGTGAGGACAGGCTCACCTCTGGAGGAGTTCCAGGCTAGGAAGTGCTGCTGGGGCCACTCTAAGTGGAGCAGGGGGGCCATGAGAGGCTGGCAGAAGCAGGCTGTGTTGGCCCCAGCCACTGCTCACTTCCCCAGCAGCTAACTCCCATCTCCACTGCCCACCCCAACAGCGCCTTCTATCCTCTACCCAGCTGGCTCGTGCCCACGCCTAGACTCCTACCCACAGCTACCAGAATAGAGGCCTGACAAGGGCAACAAAGGCCTCCCTTCTGGTGCAGAACGGAGAGGCAGGCCCAAATGTAAGCCACTGAAGAGTGGAAAGATGGACTAACAGGCCTGAGCAGGCAGGGACATCAGCAAAGCCACTAAGGCAAGTGCCTGGACTCCTACTTCTCCTTTAGAGAAATCTGACGTTCAGAAGTTTAAGGTATTTGTCCAAAAACCTACATCTAGGGAGAGAAGAGAAGAACCATCTTCCTGTCTTCTCACCATCACTAGGGCCTGAAAGCTAACACCTCTGGCCTCCCAGTGTCAGTGCATTGTCAGAGGGAGTGTCTCAGAACCAGCCCCTTGCACATGCGCAGAAACTCAGGCCAGGTAGGAGTTCAGCCCAGAGACACCAGGGCGATCCTAGAGACAGCCTTCTTGGCTGATGTAACATCAAGTTAGAGATGGCCAGAACAGATGTGGTCTGACCAGGACACATCTAACAGAAGGTGTGTGAGCAAAACCTGAAGATTTTTTTTTTCATCATGTGGAAGCAAGACCAGAGAAGTGAATCTGCTTTTAGCAAAGTGACAAAGAGCAGTTGTACTAGCTTGAGAATTATGCTTTGCTACCCCTCAGGAAAATACACTGAGGGTTATTTTTCCTTGAAAAAAACACCACTGAAAGCCAACTCTGGGGAAGCAAAGGTTCTGCCTAGAGACCCCAACAGAAAAGGGCATCCACCATGTGTGCACTTGGAGAATGGACTAGGTCAGCATTTCCCAAGCTGGGTGCCATGGAACAGCAGCTCCTGACATGTTCTGTGGAAGCAACTCTGGGAAAGGCTGCCAACTATAGCCCTGTCTTGGAGCTCCGCAATGCCCCTCAGGATGCTGAAAACCCTGAGACATCCCACAGCAATGAACCATTTCATTTGTCTGGCCCAGCATTTGCTTGAAGTACTTGGCCAAGGACTGATCACCAAACCTGCAGTAGGTGTGAAGCCCTCTTTCCTCCTGGCCTTGAGCCTTGGCTTCCTCTCAGCACAATGAGGCAGATGGACTGAGTATGTCCAAGGTCCTCCTACTCTGCTGTTTTTCCAGGCACAGCCGAAGGCTAGCTCCCTTCCCACTGCACTGAAGGTCTGAGCCCGATGGAGCAGAGACGGGCCACCATGTGTGGCTCTTCCTCAATCCCTGCCCACCTCAACCAAAATTGTGCAGGTGCTGCAGCTCAAGTGAGCATCTTGAGGGAGCTGGAACCCAGAGGGGTGAGGCCAGCACAATGAAGGGATGTCCCACAGCATTGTGGGCCACCTGCCAAGCCTCCCTGCTCCTGTGAGAACAGGTGCTTTGGCTTCTCACTGGCAGAAACACACAGGTGAGCTTCCCTGGATTTAATCGCACTGTTCTAAATACTGAACAGCAAACACTTACCTAACTGATCAGTGTGCGATGGGCCTGTTTCTAATCACAGATGCAATAATCACGAGCATGCATGCCTCCTCAGGAAGCCCCCACACTCCAGGAGCAACTCCAAAGGCACTGAGTCATCTCCCCACACCGAAAGCTCCTTCCTCAGAATCTCACACTTACCTCTCACAAACCACACATCCCACACCCACAGCACCTCATGGCATATATAGACCCTGACCTGCGAACAGTTATTCTCACTCATTCCCCTCCCACATGGTCCAAATGGCTCCAGCTGCTGCTAATCCCAGAGGCAGCCATGCCCGTGCCTGCAGTCAGCCATTCTCCATCCTGTCCAAGGACAGAGCCTTGTGGGGAGAACCAGAAGCTTCTGTGGGCTACCGCGAAGGAGCAGGAGGAAGTCAGCAAACCTACTCAGTTCATTTCAAAGGGATGGCCCCAGCTCAGCCAATACGCTGGAGCACCCAGCCTCTAAGTCACCAAAGAGAGCCTCCATGGGCTCAGTTAGGCATCCCACAGCAACTCAAAACATCCTGAACAAAGCTGGGATGGGGCTGTGGACTCAGAGTCTTCTGGGGACAAAAAAGAGACCAACCTCATGGAAATGGTCCTACAATGGCCTCTCAGTGAGGGTAGGACACTGTCATCCTTTGTGAATGCTTAGCTCCAGCCTGGGCCTCTACTTTACCCCAGGGTCATTTCTCTGGGAATGGGTGGCTGCTCTGCCACCTCAGGCCCCCAGCTAACTGGAACTGAAGCCCAGAGGAGGAGCTTCCCAGAGCCTAGCTGGAAGGTAGTTTCCTGCCTCCCCTAACAGCTTGCTCCCCTGGCCAGCATCCCGCTGCAGAGCCCACTGTCAAGGTGAGAGGCAGGCCTAGGGCCAGGGAAATTTGCCTCCCTTTGGGCCCTCCAGCTGCTCATGGCTCTCTCCAAATGAGCATCTATTGGGAAAACTGTCCATAACTTTGTCTTTAGCCTTCTCCAAGGCCATTCTTCCAGACCAAACTTGAACCAGGTAAGAAAGTATCTTCTACTCTGGGACTCTGCCCAGGATTTCAGGAGATGCAGGAATCCCTCAGGAGATCTGGGCCCAGGCCTCCTGTTCTCTGCTGCCATGTTGTAGAGCCAGGACACACATCCCCCAGGAGTACACAGATGCTGGTGGCCAAGGGAAATGACCAGGAAAAGAGAGTTGGTGAAAGAGAGGAAAGGAACCAAGGGAGGCATGGCAAGGAGGTGGCAGGTAAGTGGGGAGCTGGCGCAGAGGGTGGTTACCTGGGTGAGATGAGGGTTGGGGTTGAACCCACACTGGTTGCAGACTTTGTTGTGACACTGGGTGCAGGTGTTGAAGTTTGGCTGGCTGGGAGTCGATGTGAGGTCCGAGGTCTTGCATATGGGACACAGGGTACTGCTGGGAAGGGGGGCGATCTGAGGGACAGAGTAGGGTGATGTGGGAGTGCTACTTCTGTCCGGTGACACCGAGGGGGACCTCCCTGATCTCTGTGTCCTGCTGTCTACCTGCAGCGTCCTGCGGGGACCATCAGCCTCCTGGCCTGATGGGCCCTGTGCCCTCATCTCCCGGGGGCTCTCACGGCCAGGAGCAGTAGCAGAAGCCTGGTTCGGGGTTGGGGAAGCTGCTCTCTGGCTACCGGAGGGCTCCTTCGTGTCCAGTCTCCGGGAAATGCTGAAATGACATTGAAAATGACTATGTTAGAGACAAATCTTAGAGAAGCAGCCCACAGAGGTCTCTAGCAAGCTGGGTAACCCCACCAAGCCCCATGATCACCCTTCTTCTCCCGCCCAGTGGCAGCATCACAGCCACCATTTGCTATGCCCTGTACTGAGACCTAACAAGAATCTCCCACTTGAATCCTTGGCTCCAGGACATGTGGCAGGATCTGAGTGTCCCCTCTTACATCCTGATAAAGTACAGATTCTGATTCAGTAGGTCTGGGGTGGGTCTGCATTTTTAAGAAGCTCCAAAGTGAGCTAATACTCTGGTTTGCAGATCACACTTTCAGTACCAAAGCTCCAAACCTACACATTAGAAACACCTAGGGTGAAGCTGGGCATGGTGGCACACACCTGTAGTCCCAGCTACTCAGGAGGCTGAAGCAGGAGGATCACTTTAGCCCAGGAGTTTAAGACTGCAGTGAACTATGATCATGCCACTGCATTCCAGCCTGGGTGACAGAGAAAGATCCCTTCTGAAAGAAAGAAAAGGAAGGAAGGAAGAGAGAGAAAGAGAGAAAGAGGAAAGAAAGAAAACAAAAGAATACAAAAGAAAGAAAGGGAGGGAAGGAAAGAAGGAAGGAAGGAGGGAAGGAAGAAAGAAAAAAAGAAAAGAAAAGAAATACCTACGGTGATTTTAAAAATTCTGACTCTAAGACTGCACTCCAGACAAACTACATCAGAAACTGTGGGCAAAAAACGCTGGCATTAGTATTTTTTCCTCCCTGGGAGATTCCAACATATAGTCCAAGTTCAGAGATACTGCCCTGGCAGGTCTGTTACATCCTGGTTTGTCCCCTTCGGATGCTGAACCCAGACAGTCAGGAATCGGGGGGAACCCCAGTGAGTAGTTGATGCCATCTCCACCAGGGGTCTGCCTGTACACAAAGGAATATTCCTTCTGGTGGCTCTCCAACCAGACTGATGGCAGACCAAATCTATGAGGATGGGATGAAGTGTTACTTTTCCTTTGGGGATGGAATTCTAGGATCCAGCCCTTGAGAAACCACTGAGTGAGATCCAATGTGCCTAACCCCCACCTCCATCCCAACATGGCTGCAGGGGAGTCAGTAGAATAGGGTAGTTGGATAAGGTAGAAGGCAAACCAGCAGACTAAAATCTAATCCCCTTATATTTCTTCTCCTTTGACCCAACTTAAGTTCATTTCTGCCAATTTTCCTCTTTTCCAATTTGAAAATACAAAAAGCCAAAGACAATCCTTTATATCATTTTCCTGAAATTCTATACTTGTTTTGGTCTGTATTCATTTGAGTGGATGCTGGCACACAGGAGGCAGGGCAGACTTGCTGAAAGCCACTGCAGAGACCCAACCATAGCTGCCTGTGGAGGAGGCTGCCCTGGCCCCTTCTGCCCCAGTGTCCCCCAGTCCTTGTAGTATCTGACTGCTGTCCCCATCTGAAGGCCATCTGCTTGCCAAAAAGATTTAGGAACAAACTGGTAGGGCATCTTAAGACAAGCCATTTCAGAGGGAGATGAGGGGCCCACCTGGGGGGGCCCACCTGGGGAGGCCCACCCCAAGACACTCCGAAGTACTTCCTTCTGAGAACCTGGAGGTGGAGAAACATCTTATAAAGACTCTTCTGGAAAAAAGAAACACCAGTAAATGTCCGCTAAACATTCCTGTCATCGATCACCAACAACCACCTAGTCATCCAGTCAGAGATCTGCCACTTTCCTTTCCAGTAAGACAACCAGAGTTTGAGTCTAACCCCTGTGGGCTACCTTTGCTGCCAGCTGTGAGGCCAGTATGGTGGTGGCCACAGCATCTCTGGCCTACACTTGGAACCTGGGCTCCTCTAGGGCCTTTCAGTATACCAATTTCTAAGTATCCTAAAGAAATATTTCCTACCTGGTTAAATTAGTAGTTTCATTTTTTACTTAAATTACTTGGGGCTGGAATTTAAAGGCAGCCCTTGAAAGCAAATCAGAAGCTACTGAAAGCCCTTCATAACATGTGAATGAGCTACAGCCTCCTCTCCAGGCTGTGCAAGCTTTCTGAGAAATTTAGAAATTTCTACTGTATTTGTGTTGCCTGAGAAGTAATAGGCAATCTTCTGTGTACACAGTGATGTTTTAATTCAATGTTGCATTACAATGTAGTCTTTCTGGAGACATTTTATGTGAAGATTAGGGATCTAAATTTTTTTTTTTTTTTTTGAGACAGAGTCTCACTCTGTTGCCTGGGCCACTGCCATCGTGTCAGCCCAGCTCACAGCAACCTCAAACTCCTGGGTTCAAGTGATCCTCCTGCCTCAGCCTCCCGAGTAGCTGGGTCTACAGGCATGTACCACCATGCCTGGCTAATTTTTTTTCTATTTTTGGTAGAGACCGGGTCTCACTCTTGCTCAGGCTGGTCTCAAACTCCTGAGCTCAAGCTATCCTCCCACTTCAGCCTCCCAGAGTGCTACAGTTACAGGCATGAGCCACCGTGCCCGGCCAAAATTTTAAGTTAACTTCCAACTCAGCTGCAGTGACAGTGAGTAAACAAACAATACCTTCTGCACCTAGCAAAGTCTGCACTACAAGGGCAATGCTCCCTGCATTGGTGTGTGCCCACAAACCACATGGTGGCCATTGTGATAACTGGTAATCACAATACTTGTCCGTGGTCCCTACACTCTCCTGTCCTCCTGGATGATTCCCCACACCCTCTCCTCAATCTTCAAGCTTCTAACACCTTCCTCTGTCTCTTCACTGTTATCAATGACAGTGAAGACTGGCTGGCTGTCTCACTGAAAAAGAGAGACCCACTGGAGAAGAATCCACACAACCACGGCCTCCCTACTTCTGTCCCTAGTGTTTGCCTGCCTCTGCTCCCAAGGCACACTTCTTACCTTCACAAGTTCTCCCCTTCCTTCATCATCCATTCTCCCCTCTCTATCACATCATTTCAATTTCCATACAAACATGCTTCTAAGGAAAAAAGAAGCACTTTGCCCATGATCCCTTCAGCTTCTCCCCCATTTCTCTGCTCTTTTTTACAGCAAAACTCTTTGAAATCACCTCTACTCACTACCTCCCGCTCCTCTCATCCCTCCCTTTCAACCCACTCTAACATCGCTTCTGCCCATCCCTCCACAGAAATTGCTCACATCACAGTCACTGGGGACTTCCACATCATCAAATCCAGCAGCATGTCTCAGTTCCTCACCTCACCTGACTAGCACAGCACTTGATCCCAGGTGAGCACTACCCGCTTCCTGAAATGCATTCTCCACTTGCCTTTGGGAACACCGCCTTCTCCTGGACTTCCTCCTCCTGCCTCGCCATCCCCTTCTAATCTCTTTTTGCAGGTTCTTCCATATCTCCCGAGCCTAAAGCCCCACTTCTTACATTGGAGAGACCGAAGGCTCAGTCTTTAAACAAATTAGCTTCTCTGAGTGCTCACAATCTCTATGTCTCAAGACTTATCCGGTCTCAAGGCTTTAAATCACATTTCCCACTGACAACTACCAAATGTCTATCTCTGGCCCAGACCTCTGCCCTGAACTCTTTACTTGTCTAACTGCTAACTCCAGGTCTTCACTGAGATGTCTTAGAGGCATCTCAAACTTGACATGGCCACACTACGCCCCTGATCTTCCCCCTAAATGTGCTCCTGCTGGTCTTCCCCTTAGTGCCATCTCTGATTCCCTTCTTCTCTCATCCTACATCAATCCATCAGTAAATCTTACTGGTTTCAGATTCTGGCCAATACCGCTGCCTCCTCACCCGACCTGGTCCAAGCCACTGTCATCTCCTCTTTCAATACTGTAGAGCCTGGCTCCTTCCACTCACTCCTCTGAGGGCTTCTCGCCATGCAGCAGCCAGGAAAGCTGTAAATACTGAAGTCAGGCCACTTCCCGTCTCTGCTTAAACCCACCACAGCTTCCTTTCCTACCCAGAGGAAGAGCCAAAGGCCTTACGTTGGCCCATGAGGCCCCATGAGATTTGCCCCTTTCTCTCTGGCCTCGTCTCTTTCTATTCTCTCCCTCCCTCACTCCACTTCCCTTATACCAGGCCAGTCCTGCCCCTGGCTGTGTGTGTTTGCTATTTGTTCCACTGGCAGTTGCTCCCTCTCAAGTCTTTGCTTTCAGGGACATCTACTCTGACTATTCTATTTAAAATTGTGCTTCTGTCCCTCCTGCCTTTTTGTTCTCCATGGCACTGAACACTATCTGAGCCATCATAAAACAAATTTATTGCTTTTGTGTGTGCTCTAGTATCCCTGCATTAAACTGCCAGCTCTGTGTGGGTAAGGCCCCTGTATGCTTTCTTCACAGCTATGTGCCAGTGCCTAGCAAATGCCTGGCACAAACTGCATGCTCAATGTGTATTTCCTGAATGGGAGGACTATAGGCACATCATGACTCAGAGCTGTAAAATATGGCCCCTAAGTGTTTTAGAGCTGAGGAAACACGGCACGTTCCTGGCAGGGCACTCCAGCCTTCTCTTGATCTGACCTGATCAGGCAGGAGAGAACTGCAGGAGCAATACCTGGGGTCTTCCCCAGCTGCTGGCCCCCCAGCCCCACCTACAGGGCTCTGCTGACAATAATGGTGGTAATGCTGACTCATCCCTCACCATGAGCCATCTGTCACATATTAACTCCTTTAAGCTTCACAGCAAATTCACTGGGTAGGATCAATTTTGCCCACTTCAGAGACAAGAAAACTGCCACACATAAAAGTTAAGTAACTTGCAAAGTCATCATGACTTGCAAATTGTGGAGCTGGGATTCCCATACACAGGTCACCAGTCCATGTCCTTAACCCCTGTCCCATACTGCCTTTCTAGGGGAGCACAGTATACCTAGAAAGGGTGGGAAGCATTGCAATTTAGATTCTTTGGATTCTTTTTTCTGAAGAGCTAAGTGGAAGCTGCCTAGGAGAAGGTCTCTGACCATTTTGCTCCCCACTGTATCCCCAGGACCCAGCATCACTCTTGGCCCCGAGTGGATACTCAATAAGCATATGCAAAGTGAACAGAAAAATGTGTGAACAGTACAGCGAGCCCACAAAGTGGGGCTGAGTTAGGGCAGTGACGTCATTCAGCTATGACCACTTTCCCTGGAGTTTGCTCAGCAATGCTGAGAGACTCACATAGAAAATGATTCCAACAACAGATATTCATTCATTCAGGCATTCAGGCATTCATAAACACTTACTGACCCCTGGACTGGTTCCAGGCCCTGTGATAGGTATTGATGGTACAAAGGAATTATATCTCTTACAATGAGAGGTGGGTCCACAGGTATTCATCATATTGTTATTCTTTACATCTTACGCATATTTTATAAGTATTCTTATATTCTTTATAAATAGCTATACAATATTTAATTCAAATAAATTTTTAAAAAAGTGAATCAGACTGGGAGCCTCCAGTCTAGAGTAGAGACAGATGTGCCAACAAATTCCTGCAAAACACACTGCCACATGGTCTGGGGAAGGGCAGAAGCCTCAGAAGGTTTTTTTTTTTTTTTTTGAGACAGAGTCTCACTGTGTTGCCCGGGCTAGAGTGAGTGCTGTGGCGTCAGCCTAGCTCACAGCAACCTCAAACTCCTGGGCTCAAGCGATCCTCCTGCCTCAGCCTCCCGAGTAGCTGGGACTACAGGCATGCGCCACCATGCCCGGCTAATTTTTTTCTATATATTTTTAGTTGTCCAATTAATTTCTTTCTATTTTTAGTAGAGACGGGGTCTCGCTCTTGCTCAGGCTTGTTTCGAACTCCTGAGCTCAAACAATCCGCCTGCCTCGGCCTCCCAGAGAGCTAGGATTACAGGCATGAGCCACCGCGCCCGGCCGCCTCAGAAGCTTTGAGGATGAGGAGACATCTAAACCAGGTCTTAAAGGATGGGCTGTTCACCCTGAGGTGGAAGGGCAAGCTAGGCAGAGAGAACAGCATACACAAAGGCCCAGAGGCATGTCAGAGCCTGCTCAGTATGGGTAGATGTGCCAGGTGCATGGCAGATGTAAGTCATTGCTATTCCCAGTACCTAGAATAGCTCCTGGCAATAGTGTGTGTTCAACTACCTGAGCTAATCGGAAAGCAAAAAGCTAAAATGGGAAAGGCTAGGACAGCAGGGCTTCTAAGGTTTTCAAACAGGGGAGTGTTTAGGCTCTTTGTCAAAGAGGAAAAGATGGTGGGGGTAGGGAAATCAGTGAGAATAAGGCACTAGCCCACAAGATAGTCCATGAGGTGAGAGGGAGGGAAGGTATAACAGGGGGTATTCTGGCTCACGCTCTAAAGAGGAATGTTCCTTTTAATTGAAATGGGGAATTCTTCCAGGAAGAGAAGCTAATTGGTGGATGGGGAATGGGGAGTGAAATAGCAAAATCACAAATTGGGTTTTGGTTGTATTGAGGTTGGGGAGAGGGGTCTAAGAGACATCAGGAGAGAGATCACAGCTTGGGTTCAATTCAGATAAATCTAGATATTTTTATCTGGGAGAGTTAAAGGTCCTATTCTCAGGTAATTCTCAGGGATAGAGATCACCCAGAAAGCAGTTGCCCAAGAAGGCATTGTAGGGAGCACCAACATTTATGGGAGCAGAGAAGATGCCAGAAACACAGCAGTCAGAGAAAGGAGGACAAAAGAGAATGACCCCACGGTGTTAAAGAAGCTCCCGTGAGCAGGAGCATTCAACAATACCATGTGCTATGATAAGTCTACAAACATGAAGGCTGAGAAGTCACAGAAGAAAAAGGCCACACCCATGAAGTCCACACACTCTGAATGCCCAAGCCCTCTCCCAACTCAGTCCAGCTTGGGAGGGGCAGAGTTCCTCTTAGCTGAACACGAGGCCCACCATGGCAGGGGCTCCAGCAGTGATGACACAAGTCCCAGGTGGTTAGAACAGCCTGAGACCTCCTCAGGAGGGAATGGGTGAGCCCTCTAGAGGCTCTCCTTACAGGACACAAACAAAGGTCTCCACCAAAATATGGCTGTTGAGTAGGAGAAAGGAGGGAATGAGGAAAAGGAGTGGGAGATGTCCATGGGCAAGACCTAGACCAGCCCCAAGGATGACCTAGTCTCTTGGACATGGATCATCAGCAATGATGCCCTTTGAAGCCAATGCTCCTTCCAGCAGCCTTGGGAGCCCTACTGCTTGGGGAGGACTGGGATAATGAGAGGTAAGCAAGGAAGGGAGAGGGACACAGCCACAAAGCAAAGACACAGGAGGATAGGCAGGTGCAGAAAAGGAAGAGGGCAGAGATTTGAAGGAATGGCTGGAAGCCAAAAGGGGAGACTCACAATGCCTTATCCAGGGAGAAATATTTTCTTAAGATGGCCAAGAACAGTAGAGGATATAGAAAAAGCCAGATTGCTACCAGCTTTCCTTCCTTTCAGCATTTAGGGCTATTAATTGATCAGAAACAATCTTAACTCAAAGCTGTCTCTCATGGCAGGAAAGGAGCCCCCTGGCCACAGGAGGGCTGTTGGGAAGGGAGACAAAGCCAATTCAGTCAGCCTTCCCCTCACCAACTCTCAGGACCCCTGTGGCCTCCTGTCCTATGTCATGACCACAGCTGAGAGAAATAACCCAGACTGCACTGGTCAGAATCTGGGCTCCCCTCTGCCAGAAACCCACAGGGCAGGCCTGAGGCCAATAAGCCCCAGTGACTAAAAGATGCTCCAGATCCCAGGTATGTCCATAAGGGAAGGGTCCTAGGGAAAGATGAGGCTGCCCCGGTCCATGGCGGGAAGGAGCCTGCAGTCCCTCTGGCAGCTGCACTGGGGAGGGCCTGCCCAGGCTGAGGCAGAGGGGAAGGAAAAGCAGGGAGGCATGGAGCCTGTGTGCCCAGAGGGAAACCAAGCTGGGCCCCACAAGACAGCATTCCAGAGCATGCCCCCCACTGCCTCCAGTTGAACATTTATAAGGGAAATGTTTCACATTAATAAATGGCTATCTTGTTCACCAAGAGGGCAGTGAACTTAGGGAAACTGCTTCCCTTAGAGCAGCCAGCAGAGCCCCACAGATTCTAACAAGGTTTTGATAAATTCATGGCTGACCTTTCTGTAATGGGCAATTATGGCTGGCCA